GGGGGGGCGTTGGTGTGCAGCATCTGGGATGTTGTCTTCCCGGGATCCCTGCATGTTCGGGAGTCACGGCGGGGGCCTGGCCACCTCTCACGCCTGCCCTTCCCGTCTCCCTCCATCATCCACAGCCTAGACCTGTCCGAGTTGGCCAAAGCCGCCAAGAAGAAGCTGCAGGCGGTGAGTCACCATCTCTGACCCTCGACCCCTGCCATCGCTCCCCCTTCCTCTGACCTGGTATCCTTTTCCAAGTCTTGGGCCTGCCCCTCACTCTAGCCTTTCTGGCTCCCTTCCCCCCACTTCCCCGCCTTTTGTCTCTAACTCTGCAGGCTCCAGGGCCCTAGCTCCACCTCTGACCTACGGGGGGCACTGAGTGTTCTGATCTGGCCTCCCTTCTGTCCTCGCTCCACTGTGGAGCTTGGCAGAGACCCCTGCCCCAGTTTCCAGTTCTGAGACTGGGGGGTGGGGGTGGGCAGCGCAGCGCGCGGGACACAAGCCATTTCCCACATCTTATGACCTCCTGCTTGAGCTGGCCTTGTCAGCACTGGGGACCAATTGATCTGACAAAGTCTGGGTCCCCCTCTTTGCCTCTAGCTCAGCAACCGGCTTTTTGAGGAACTTGCCATGGATGTGTATGACGAGGTGGATAGAAGAGAAAATGACGCCGGTGAGCAAGAGGGCATCCGAGGTCACGGGTGGATGATGATGGTACCAGCCCACCTGTTGGGAGGGGCTGGCACCTGCCACGCGGGGACTGCCAGGGGGTGCCTGGGTGAGCAGCCTGGCCAGCAGCGTGCTGAGTTGGAGGCAGCCAGCCTGTTCCTCCGCCCCCAGCCCTGGACTGGGGCTCATCTCTGCTCTGGCTGCCTCCCACTCTGGCTCACTCCCCAGTCCCACTCCACCCCCCTACATCACTCCTTCCTGACCACAGCTAGATTCCAGCCCAAACTCTGGGCTGGGCCTGGCAAGAAGGAGTCGCCTTGTTCTGTTCGTCATCGGCCTAGCCGGCCTCGCCCAGCCTTGCCCTGACCCAGCCTTGCTTCCGTGGTCTGAAGACCACCCCTGTTTTGAACACCAGCACTTGGTGGGTGTGGGGAGGAGCGAGGAAGGCTGCGCCCGGCACTTCCCCACCTCTGCCCCGCGGGCCTGGCCACCGTGGACCCTCCGGACTATTTGCTCCCTGCTCCTCCCACACAGTGTGGCTGGCTACCCAAAACCACAGCACCCTGGTGACGGAGCGCAGTGCTGTGCCCTTCCTGCCTGTGAACCCCGAGTACTCAGCCACACGGAATCAGGTGAGGGGGCTGGATGGGGGGCCTGGGGCGGTCTCCTCCCCTCCAGGGGTCGCCAGCTCTGTGGGCCCTGCCCTTCCTCAGCGGCTGCTGACTGGGCTGCTGCCTGGGCTCTTCTCCCCTGGCCCAGGCCTCCTTCAGGGCTCTGCTGGCACTGGGATTTGGAAATGGGGAAGAGGCTGGGTTGTTTTGAGCACTTGCTGAGCAGCCTCTGGGGGGCATTCCAGCCTCTTCTCGAGAGCTCCCCTAGGCACCCAGAATCCATGTCATCCCTGACCCCCTGCTCTGGCCATGAGCCAGATAACTGGAGACTCCTTGCAGCTTTGTTCCCGCCCCACCCCACCCCCATCTATCAGCTGTAAGGGGGCCTGTCCCCCCAGCCGGGTTCTTTCTGCCTTGTAGGGGCGGCAGAAGTTGGCCCGCTTTAATGCCCGAGAGTTTGCCACCCTGATCATTGACATTCTCAGTGAGGCCAAGCGGAGACAGCAAGGCAAGAGCCTGAGCAGCCCCACAGGTGGGAAGGGCATGGATAGGGCTGCGGGCAGTGGGCACTTTTCTAGAATATTCTCTTTCATGGGTCCTTTTTGGGGTGGCATGAGAGAAGGTTGTGTGGCTGAATCCTGAGTGACAGGACTGTGCCCTCAGACAACCTCGAGCTCTCTGCGCGGAGCCAGAGCGACCTCGACGACCAACACGACTACGACAGTGTGGCCTCGGACGAGGACACGGACCAGGAACCCCTGCGCGGCGCTGGTGCCACTAGGAACAACCGTGCCCGGGTCTGAGCACTGCCCCACCCCGGGCCTCCATCGAGGCCCGCCTCTCTCCCCCTGTAGCCTGGGGCTTCGGGGACACGCGGGCTGGTTATGGCCTTGAGAAGAGCCTTCTGTGGGCATTCACCCCCTGCCCCTGATGGCTGACTGGCCTCTGTCTCACTCTGCAGAGCATGGACTCCTCAGACCTCTCCGATGGGGCCGTGACTCTGCAGGAGTATCTGGAGCTGAAGAAGGCTCTGGCTACCTCCGAGGCCAAGGTGCAACAGCTCATGAAGGTCAACAGCAGCTTGAGTGATGAGCTCCGGAGGCTGCAGAGGGAGGTAAGGGCGGCAGCGCCGGTGGGAGTGGGGGCGCCCAGCCTCCTGGTCGGGGAGGGTCCCCTGCTCTCAGAGGTGGGGCTATGGCCTGGAGCCTCGGGAGGTCCTGACACCGCCGTGCACTCTCAGATCCACAAGCTGCAGGCAGAGAATCTGCAGATCCGGCAGCCGCCGGGGCCGGTGCCCACACCCCCACTGCCCAGCGAGCGGGCGGAACATACATCGATGGGGCCTGGGGGGAGCACCCACCGCAGGGACCGCCAGGCCTTCTCCATGTATGAACCAGGCTCCGCCCTGAAGCCCTTTGGGGGCCCACCTGGGGACGAGCTCACCACCCGGCTCCAGCCTTTCCACAGCACTGTGAGTTGCCCGTGGGTGTCCAGGCCTGGGGGAGACAGGGTTGGAGCTGCCGTGGGGCCCTCCGTGATGCCTACCGTGCCGTCCCCCAGGAGCTGGAGGACGACGCCATCTATTCAGTACACGTCCCTGCCGGCCTTTACCGGGTAGGCAGGGCCTGGGGGAAGTGGGTCCGTGTCTGCGGGTCGGTTCTGAGCCCCGGTGGGTGCAGCTTTTGTGCTGGCTGCTGGGCACAGAGGTGACCCGCACTGCTGGGAAGCTGGAAGGCGGGTGGCAGGGAGAAAAGGCTGACTCCAGCCCTCCTGGCTTTCAGATCCGGAAGGGGGTGTCGGCCTCCGCTGTGCCCTTCACTCCCTCCTCCCCACTCCTGTCCTGCTCCCAGGAAGGAAGCCGCCACACGGTAATGTTCCCATCCCCGGTGCCCAAGGGACAGGCCAAATGAGGCGTGTGCGCATCTGTGAATGTGTCCGTCACCTCCTACCCCTTCCCTGATCCTCCAGAGCAAGCTTTCCCGCCACGGCAGCGGTGCCGACAGCGACTACGAGAACACGCAAAGTGGGGACCCGCTGCTCGGGTGAGGCACCCCCAGGAGGAAGGCCGAGCGGGCCCTGGCATGCCCGTGAGGGTGCAGGCAAGTGGCCTCACCACGGGAATGTCTCTTTCTAACCCCGGCCTCAGACTGGAAGGGAAGAGGTTTCTGGAGCTGGGCAAGGAAGAAGACTTCCACCCGGAGTTGGAAAGCCTGGATGGAGACCTCGACCCTGGGCTTCCCAGCACGGAGGATGTCATCCTGAAGACGGAACAGGTCACCAAGAACATTCAGGAATTGTTGCGGGCTGCCCAAGAATTCAAGCACGACAGGTATGGGGGTGGGACGCAAGGCTCATAGCAGCCCCTGGGTGTTGCGGGGGGGAAGGGGGGCCGGTGTTCCACTGTCCCTGTGAACCCTCCTGATTTTTACCCTCCCCTCCCCCAAAAGCTTTGTGCCCTGCTCAGAGAAGATCCATTTGGCTGTGACTGAGATGGCCTCTCTCTTCCCCAAGGTACAGGGGCCGGAAAGAGGAGCAGGATTGGGAGGGTCTCCGGGTGGGGCAGGCGCAGGGAATGTGACCGCTCCCTGGGTGCGGATGAGGACACGCCAGGCCACGTTGGTGGCTCGTGGTTGGAAGTCCGAGGCGCAACTCCCTCCTCCCGTCCAGAGGCCCGCCCTGGAGCCTGTGCGCAGCTCGCTGCGGCTGCTCAACGCCAGTGCCTGCCGGCTGCAGAGCGAGTGCCGGAAGACCGTGCCCCCGGAGCCCGGCGCCCCTGTGGACTTCCAGCTGCTGACTCAGCAGGTGATCCAGTGCGCCTATGACATCGCCAAGGCTGCCAAGCAGCTGGTCACCATCACCACCCGAGAAAAGAAGCAGTGACCACTCTCCCTGCACCCTCGCCTGCACCCTGGGACCTCACTGGCCGTGGGAGCTGGGCCACTCCAGACACTCATCCCCACCCTAACAGAGCCACTGGCGCAAGTGCCCTTCGTGCTGCCACTCCCCCTGGCAGCCAGGCGCCCTGGTGCCCGCCCCCCCTGCAGCCCCCACATTCCATGCACCTCCCCCTGTACATAGCATTCCCCTCCCGCCCCCCCAGCGTGCAGGGGCCTGTAAGGCATCACTCCCAGCCCCTAGCCCTCTGGGGCACCCTCAGCAAAGGGTCGGGTGGGGACACTCCAAGTGGGGCCATTCCCCCTACAGGCACCCCACCCCCATGAGCCAGTTCAGCCCTACTGGGGGCTGAGCGGGGGCATCCCCTCCTTTGTACATAATCTCTGGATGTCCCCGCCCTGTAGCCACCAGCCCCCCTGCTGCTCTCCTTTAATGCCAAACGGCCCCTGCCTAGAGCACAGGCCCCAACCTGTGTTCCCAGGGTCCCTAGCAGCAAACACTGGAAATTGTTCTTTGTTTTTTGGGTTTTTTTTTCCTCTCTCTCCTCTTCCACTCCTTAATTTTAACATTGTGGTAACTGAGTGTCCCTGCGTGCCTGTGTGCGTGTGCGGGGCGGCAGTGCCGTTCCGGAGGCCTGGCCCATCTGGAGTTCTGTGAAGGGTGAGGGGACCGGAGCAGCAGGACCAGTGTTGGGGGTCAGCCCCCCTTCCCCATTCTCGGGGCCAGGGACTGCTGGTAACCAGCTGGGGTCCAACCCGTTGCCTCCCCTCATCTGTCCCCCCCACTCCTGACCCCTTCTCCATGAACTTAACAACAAAAACCACTTCCCTGCATCTCACCCCCCCCTCCCTTGTGGAGGGGGGTGTGCTGGCTGGGGCAGAGAACTGAGCACCTGAGCCTGGGGCTGGCTCCCCGGGGTCCCTGACTCAGCTGAGAGCCCCCTCCCCATAACCTCTTGAGAGGCCAGCACCTGCGCCGCGGCATCCGGGTATCTGGGATCTGGGCTGCAGCCTGAGGTTGGAGACGCAGATGGCAGGGCCTACCAGCTCTCCTCCCTGTCCCGCCTCTGTCCCGGGGGCCAGGTTTTACCTGTGTGGTGGTGGGTGGGCTGACTGTCAAGAAGTGTGTCATGTACCTTTGTATCAAAAATAAATAAGTGACCATGCGCTGTTGCTGACGCTTAGAGAATTCGGGGACCGGGGCGGGGGGGGGTGGGCAGGGGATTGGGGAGGTGGCAGACACGAGAAGGAGAAAGACCAGCCTGGCAAGAGCATGAAGCAAGTGAAGACTCCAGCTGCTCTAGACCCGAAACTCAAAACGGAAGCCCTTGTGTTCTAGAAAAGGAGCTGGGTGGTTTCTGTAACTACCACCACCTCCCCCTCCCCACCGTGGTAGCATGCCAGGTTCTCTCACGCTCCTAAAACTTTGGCTAAGGCCGGGTGGGCAGGAGGAGGCGGGCAGGCGGGCAGGTGCCTAACTTGATTTTGTAAACGCCCACTTCAAACAAAACCTATGTGGCCCAGGACAGTGTCCCGGTGGAAGTGTCTGTGTGGCAGACGCACAAGCTCAACCCCAGATTCTACCAAAATAATTTAATTAGAAACACAGGCAAGGGAGGCCGAAAGGGCCCCTTTCCCCACCGCGAGAAGCAAACCACACCACAGGGACAAGCCCCTTCGCGATGCTCAGGCGGGACTGCTCCGTCTGGCCACCAGGGGGCGGTCCGGCGCAGGGTCCACGTGGCAGAGGTCGCGGCCTCCCGGGTGACAAAGCAAACCTGACAGAGGGGCAGGGCTGGGACACGTCAGTCGGAACTGTCCCCATCTGAGCCGCTGTCCGGGGTGGGCGAGAGCAGGGGTCTCCGGCGGGAGCGCTTGACCCGGCGGGGGGGCATCAGCAGCCTCCGCTTCAGCACAGCTGCGGGCAGGGTGGGGACCCGTCAGAGAATGGCAGCGAGGCCAGGGAGGGCCAGGGCTGGGCTGGGTGGGTAAGGAGGGTAACTGCTCACCAGCCACCGTGTCCTGGCTGTCCGCTGTGGGCTCCCAGTAAATGCTCTCCCCGCGTCGGAAGTTTCGGTGCAGCCGAGTGCAGAGCGTGGCCAGAGTGAGCAGCACTAACAGGAAGGTCAGGGCCATGGCAGCCCAAGCAGCCTCCTCCGTGCGCGGGGTGGGGCCCCGGGCCACCCGCGGAGGCACGGGAGGCGCCGCTGCCCGAGGGGCTGGGGAAGCCTCCGCTGGACAGGTGCAGCCCCCTGGGCTGCTTTGCCCTTTGGACACTTGAGCCTCCAGCCTGGAGCTGGCATTGCCTCCAAGCCCCTCAGGCAGCAAGCGGAGAGTGGGCACAGGTGGCGCATCACCCCCCTTACCCCGAGCTGCCAACATGGGCTGCCTGGCCTCCAAGCTCCGAGGGGAAGCAGAGGGGAACCTCAGGCCCGAGGGGGTGGGCTGGAGACCCAGGGCAGCCCGCAGCCCACGCCTCTTGGCACCGCCAGGAGGGAGGGGCCTGGACCCCCTAGTTGCCTCCTCTGCACCGGGGGGCCGCCAGCTCCGCAGAGTAAAGGCCAAGGCTGGAGCCTTTGGGGAGAGAGAGAGGAGTCACCCTTTCCCTGCCCAGATAGCCCAATGACCCCACCACCAACCAAGCCCAGCACCCCTCACCTGCACACACCCTCTCCAGCACAGCCTCCCTCTACCTGGCCTTGGCACCAAGGACCCAGAAAGGCCATCAGAGCAGAGCCATGCCTTCTCCTTCCTCTGTCTCCACCGCCGCCTCCTCTTCAGCAGGTGGGCAGCCCAGGCCGGCTCTATCCACGCCATCTCCAGCACCACCCCCCATGCTGCCAGCACCAGGGGCTAGGAAAGGGGAGCTAAGATGAAGGTGGGGAGCAAGTAGGAAGAAGTCCCCGAGTTTTCCTTCCCCTGCACACGGGGCTACCTCCTCTGCCGGAGCCAGACAGCCACCTTTCATCAACCACTTACCCGCTCCTGAGTAAGGCTAGAGTCAGGGGCCAGCGAGGGCTGGGCCACACAAACGCGGGCCAGGAGGGCAAGCTGGAGCTTCAGCCAGGGGTGCACGCAGGGGTGGTACAGGAAGCTGACATCCTCGGCCTAGAGAAAAAAGCATGGAGATGTCACGCCAGGCCCAGGGCGCTGAGAATCCCAAGGCCTCCCATCCTGGGGGGCCAGCTTAAAGGGATTCCCGGGGTGGCCAGATGACCCATCTTCAGGACTCAGGAAAGGACAAAGAGCCCTGGGTGCTGGCGGGCATACCCTTCTGCCTCTGAGTGTTCCTCTCACCCCTCCTCTCCATCAGGTGCCACCCCTCAAAGCTCACAGTTAACACTGTCGGACCCCACTCTTCAGCTGTATTTCTCTGCACCTGCAATAGCGGCTCCACAGATCCCCAGTCCAGACTGGAAGCAACCCCCACAGGGACACCAGACCTTCTATTTACTGACTCTATCTATATATTCAATCTCCCCCCAAACATCCAAATACAGGGCGCTCAGGCAGCAGGTACACAATCCCACGATGGAAACACTTCATCAATTATTAATTATTCTTTGACTGAGCTGACCTGATGCTCAGCACTGTGCCAGATGCTATAGGAGATGCCAAAAGACAACTCCTGGACTCTGCTTGCAGGGAATGTAAAGGAAACTCAGGGCAATAGAACTAATGCAAATGAAAGAGCAAACTAATGCACATGAAAGAGCAAACTAATAAAACTCAAAGTGACTAGTTGCTCAATTATAAGAGCTAAGTTGTAAGCATTACACGAATTTGGAGAAGGTGATGAGTAAGGGCTGGCGTGATCAGGCAAGAAAGCTGACTGGGCTTTGGAGGTGGATGGGATGGATGGCAGGAGGGCAGGGAGCTGCCCACTTCAGCTTCAGGTCAGGATAGGCCCAGTGTGGAGAATAAGCAGCAGCAAAGGTACAGCAATGGGAATGAGCCTGGAACTCACATGTGTGGTGAGCAGACCAACACAACTAGAGAGGAACCAAAGATTTGGGGAGGTCAGATTAGGTTTATTTAAGCAGGGCCTGAAAAAGCTGGGGGTGGGGGTGGGGAGAGGCATCAGATGGGTATGACCATGATAAGATGAGAATAAAGAGCCACTGAAGATTTCTGAACAGTGGAATGATTTAATGAAAGGGTGTTTGAGGGAAGGAATCAGGTAGGTGGCATGAGGTTTCTTGGCCTGGAGCTACTACAAGGTTCAAAAGATGTTTTGGCTCATCTCGGTTAAACATCTGCCTTCAGCTCAGGTCGTGATCCCAGAATCTGTGGGACCCGCATCCATATCCGAGCCTGCATCCATCAGGGCTCCCTGCTCAGTGGGAAGCCTGCTTCTCCCTCTCCCTCTGCCCCTCTCCCACGCCCCTCCCCCCCACGCTCTTGCTCCCTCCCTCTCTCCCTCAAATAAATAAAATCTTAAAAAAAAAAAAAAGGGGGTTAGATGTTTCGAAAGGAAAACCCAAAGGGACAGGGAAGCTAACTGACCACTAGCAACGAAAACAGAGGCGGCCATGCAAGGCGAACCCACCGTTTGGTGCCTGGTAACCTCGGGCACACTCTACCTCATACAGCTTCCTACTCCCCCCAGGTGCTATCACACACAGCTCGTTTAGTCCTCGGGAGCAGGGACGTTATTAATATCCCCTTAAGGAAACTGGGGCCCAGAGAAGTCAGGAGCCGTCCCACAGTCACACAGCAGAGTTGGGGCAAGGGTTGTTTTTTGGGTCAGAGTTGCCCTTGCAGCCTCCTGCCTACGGGCAGACAGCTACCCGACAGCATTCCTGACGCAGCACCGACAGGGCAGGGGCCCGCGGCTCCCCGTCCTGGGCCCGAGAGCACTGTCTCCTCCCGAGGGAAGTGGTGGAGAATGGAGCTGGAGAGCAGAAACCGCGGAGAACGCCTGCCAGGAGCTCGCGCCTTCCCACCGAGGACGGCCCCCGCCTTGCACTTACCGGCCATCGGCTCCTCCGCGCGTAAGTCACTCTGGGCGACACCTATGCATGGGGGGAAAAGAGGGCTTAGAGCAGCTGGGGGGACTCCGTGCGGGGCGGGGGGGCAGCAGGCCCCACACCACCGGCCGGGAGGGAGTCGTTGGCGACCGACGGCCAGAGGAACCGGCAGAGGTCCTCAGAGCGTGACTGTGGAGGGCGCCGCGAGGCCAGAGCGGGGCTGGGCTGCTCCTTCACACCCCTCTCTCCCACCCCCCCGCCAGGCTCCCACCTGCGGGGGCAGAGGCCACAGGCCCTCGGGACAACCGGCTCCCGCTTCCTCCTCCGGCTCAGCCACCACCTGGGGGTCCAAGGCACAGAAGAGCTGTGGCACTGGGCTCGGCGGGGGCCCTGCCCTCTCCCTCCCAGGCCCAGCCCGCCAGGGGAGGGCTCCTAGTCCCCTGTCCACGCGCCACTCCTTCCAGGACGAACTTTCGGCAAAGCGCTTTGAGATCCCAGGCCGAAGCCTGCTCGGGAGCGGGTCGCCTTACCTCACTGGGACCTAGGAGCCCCGCAAGGGCTGCCAGGAGAAGTAGCTGGGGCGAAGGCGGAGGTGGCGCCATCCCGGCCCGCCCGGGGATCCGCCGGCCGCCCCGCAAGCCAGGGAGCGCGCGCCCCTGCGTCGCC